GAAAACGAAGAATGTATTTTATTTATACATTGTGCAAAATAAATGTCCTTAAAAACAAATGTAGGTAAATAGTGTTATTTTTAATAGAGATTAATTTAAGTAGTTTGACCCATACTGACACTGCAGAATTTGGTCTGAGCAGCTAGGTTTCAGAGACCCTCGGTCACAAAAATGCCCCTATACTGGCTGCATAAGGTATTTTTCTTCTGATATACATATTGGCTGTCATGGCCTCAAACCACTTTTTGTCGTTTGTAAATATGATAGCTGTAGGGCGGGTCTACTGTGAGGTAGAGTGAGTTCCTTTATGGGAAAATCAGTATGAAACGGCTCCTCCTTGCTACTGTGCACACTTAGGAAACAGTAAAGCGATCATAGAGGTAGAAAGAGCCCGGATAGGACTTAGCACCGAGCATTGCAGACTGCACTTTAGTGCCTTAGGCAGCACAATGGATCAGAAGATTTAGGTAAAACTCATATCACATTTCAGATTTACAAAGGGTTTTATCTGAAATACCCGGTTCAGTTATGTTGGTTAGTCACATGAATTAAGAATGAATAGTAAGAATGAATAGTCTATGACATAGCATTACACTTAAACCAGTAATTTTATATCTCTTCAACACTGAATCAGTATTGTGGAGAAATTATATGTAATTATTACCAGTGGGAACAGGGTTTCTATTGTACTGTCATTGTTAGGAGATCCTAGCAGAGCTAAAAGGAAATGAATGCATAACGTTAGTCACTGAGGAGGCCTTGTTAAAGAAAACCTGTCACATAAAAACATACTGAAGCTGATATCCAGAGGTGCTGGCATTTACCCTCATGTATGTGCAGTCAGTTTAAGATACTGACTTTCTGCTCTAAGGTGGAACCTCTAATGTGGATGGAGACATGCAAAACGTTTATTCATGGTCACTTGTCGACAGGTCTCGGGAACCAATGAAGCCTAAAGCTATAGAGTAATTTTTTCAGCTTGAGTAAGTTGAAGCAAGTCAGACAGCAAGTCGAAGTAACTTAAGATATCTATTAACCCTTTTATGACCATTGAAACTTATATGCCAGGATCAAATTAAGCAGCGTCTGTAAAGTTCACCATAACTATGATAAATCTGTTTACCTAAATCATTTTTACATTTTTTTATTAAAGCTGATAAATGGGCAAAAATGTTGACATTACTGTAATCAACACTTATAATAATTTTCTGAATTTTTTTTTTCACTATTTCACTTTGCTGGTGTCAGCTGTTATTGTGCCTTTCTCTATGCCAGAGACAATGACGGCTGAGTCACAAAGGTTTATTTTGTAAACAAAGTCATGTGTTCACCATGATGGGCCTTCATGTTGATCAATTGATTCATCTTGGTTCCTAATCATTAATGTTAGACCAATGTTGGTTCCTCCAGTCAGCGGTGGAGGATTGGGGAGGGGGGAATGCCTGTGGGGAGTGGTGACTGACAGTCACTGCTACCTTCAGGGAGATGATTGAGAAGTGAGCAAGCGACGGTATGTGTTCGCTCACTTCCCGATCTATTGAGCCGACGTGTGACAGTTTCAGTCACACGTTGGCTCGAACTATGAACTATGTTAGACCAATGTCAGTTTCTAATCATTAACGTTAGACCAATGTCAGTTCCTAGTCATTAATGTTAGACCAATGTCGGTTCCTAATCATTAATGTTAGACCAATGTCAGTTTCTAATCATGAATGTTAGACCAATGTCAGTTCCTAATCATTATTGTTAGACCAATGTCAGTTCCTAATCATTATTGTTAGACCAATGTCAGTTCCTAATCATTATTGTTAGACCAATGTCAGTTCCTAATCATTATTGTTAGACCAATGTCAGTTCCTAATCATTATTGTTAGACCAATGTCAGTTCCTAATCATTATTGTTAGACCAATGTCAGTTCCTAATCATTATTGTTAGACCAATGTCAGTTCCTAATCATTATTGTTAGACCAATGTCAGTTCCTAATCATTATTGTTAGACCAATGTCAGTTCCTAATCATTATTGTTAGACCAATGTCAGTTCCTAATCATTATTGTTAGACCAATGTCAGTTCCTAATCATTATTGTTAGACCAATGTCAGTTCCTAATCATTATTGTTAGACCAATGTCAGTTCCTAATCATTATTGTTAGACCAATGTCAGTTCCTAATCATTATTGTTAGACCAATGTCAGTTCCTAATCATTATTGTTAGACCAATGTCAGTTCCTAATCATTATTGTTAGACCAATGTCAGTTCCTAATCATTATTGTTAGACCAATGTCAGTTCCTAATCATTATTGTTAGACCAATGTCAGTTCCTAATCATTATTGTTAGACCAATGTCAGTTCCTAATCATTATTGTTAGACCAATGTCAGTTCCTAATCATTATTGTTAGACCAATGTCAGTTCCTAATCATTATTGTTAGACCAATGTCAGTTCCTAATCATTATTGTTAGACCAATGTCAGTTCCTAATCATTATTGTTAGACCAATGTCAGTTCCTAATCATTATTGTTAGACCAATGTCAGTTCCTAATCATTATTGTTAGACCAATGTCAGTTCCTAATCATTATTGTTAGACCAATGTCAGTTCCTAATCATTATTGTTAGACCAATGTCAGTTCCTAATCATTATTGTTAGACCAATGTCAGTTCCTAATCATTATTGTTAGACCAATGTCAGTTCCTAATCATTATTGTTAGACCAATGTCAGTTCCTAATCATTATTGTTAGACCAATGTCAGTTCCTAATCATTATTGTTAGACCAATGTCAGTTCCTAATCATTATTGTTAGACCAATATTGGTTCCTATGCATTAATGTTAGGCCGGTGTTGTTGACTTCTTCAGACCCCTAGTGCCAAAATAGACCCTAGATCAATGTTCCGAAGTCTGTGCTGACTAAATTTCTCTTGATTGATGTCGTCCTTCCGAGCTTCATACATCAGAAGTTTATGAATACTTGGCAAGCGGTTGAGACCCCTGCATTTACTGTAAAGTGTATCTATAGCCAATTACTGGACAGAGTAGGGAGTGGATAAAACCCCTTTTGTCCTGACTGTTAACTCGGAATAGTTAATGTTTTCTACATTCATAAGTTGTCTATACTATATATATTACATGTATCTTTTTGCTGTGTCTACATAACCTGACTTTAGTAAAGCAATATTGAAAGTAAAACCCCTTTTGTCTGTGTCCCATTAGGATATCTTTTCACTTCCTGTTCCAGCAAGACAACAGAAAGTGATAGGAAATCTCTCTATAGTGTGGAGAGATGACCTGACAATGGCTGACAATGGCTGACAATGAAAGACAATTGTCACTGATACAAGTATCTGTTTCCCTCTTTTCCTTTGCTAGTGACAGGCCAGAATGATTTCCTATCACTTTCACTTCTGGTAAAAATGGTCAGCAGGACAAAATGGAGAGGGTGTATCTCCCCAGCAGGGACACAGGCAGCAAAAAATGTTTAACAGGGGTTCTAACTGTTTTAAACACTATCAAGAAAACCCCCCCAAAAATGTGGCTATAGACACATTTTAAGACTAGGTGTACAATGACGAAGAAGTGTGGGGTTTTTTACGCTCACTCACCTTTTAGAAAATAGAAGCATGTAATGTATTGGTTGAGGATTAAATAGGTTTATTGGACATCCCACTCAATATTTTTTGTTTTGGGCACCGGTGGGTCTAATCACAGTAGTTTGTCTCCACCACTTCCCTGAAGGCATTAAAAACAACATTTCAACCTCTTGCAGGTGAAATACACATATATTAGTTTTCTGCCTGTTAGATAATCCATTGGGGGATGGTGACACCATAATTGGCTTCGTAATACCTACATGGGTATAAAGTGTAAATCCTGGTGGGGATAACTCTTGGCACTGGAGTCCTTGAAAGATAGGAGAAGCCAGTTTTCTAATCAGATGACTCCTGCTATTCTGTATAGGACCACCAATGATGAGGCATTGAGCACAGTACGACACAGAGGAAGAAGTACAGATAAGAAAATAGTAGATTGTGCGCTTCCACTGTTATATGAACAGCCAACACAGTTGCCACTATATCTGATGTCTTTGTCAGAAACTGGAATTCTGTTTTAAGTACTTCTAATTTGTGAAAGCATTACTCAGTAAATGAGAAAGTTAGCTAGAATTTATAGGCACAGCAACATGCAGACGTATTGGAATTATTGACTTGTTCCCTTTATTTCTTCTTTTTTAGAACAGCAAACCTGATTCTCTACTAAAAATGGAAGAGGAGCATAAATTGCAAAAGAATCCATTTTCAGCAATTAAAGACAGTAAATTCAAGTTTTCTTTCTCTGGCAAGAAGCTGTTCAGGTACGTGAAGATTCGGTAATATTTACAGGTAGTACTGAGCTAATAATAATGATTTAAATAGTCCAATCTCAATTGGAATGGGTTTATCTATATGCACATTTCATAGGGGTGGGGAAGTTATTGTTGTGCCTGTAGAATGTTTACTTTTGTGGCATTTATTGAACAATGAACATTGATTATACAGTATTAGGAAACAGCTGTAGGGGATCAGAAAAGCACAGTAGATAGAAAGCAATTCTACTCTAAGGACGTTAAATTGACTAACATGTATTTATGGATTTTTTTTAACCTTTTTGAGGAGGTGCTGTTCTGTGTTTGAAGGGATCATTCTAAAATGTTACTTGGCATTTCCCTTCAAGTTCCTTTTATCCTGATGGCTGATCTGTCAGTCCTGATCTAGATGAGCCTGCAGGAACGTGCAACTTACTGCTGTGTCTGTGGAGTCAGTAACTGGCTCATTGCTGAAAGACATGCTGCGTTTTTCCACACCTCTCCACCCCATTGTGGTGTGAATGGGGCACATAGAAAACAATTGTTTTTAGTCTTCCCTTGTGAGTTGCCTGTATTAATCCAGTGCAGAAAAATGCAGGTCTCTGCATATTGTGTGAATGAGCCCTAAGGGCCAATTCAGACCAAACCATCGACTGATGTGTATTGCCCGACACAGTGCTGATGTGGCAGTTTTGGCACATCTCACTCTCTTGGGTAGAACTTTGTGAAATTACATATTCAGCTATACGGGCACAGCGGGGTGCGAGGCGGTTGTACTGCGTGCTGTACTTTTTTCAGTGCACACCACTGCGTTCCCACCGCAACACAATGGTGTGAACCGATCCCGTCCATGAAAAGGCAAATTGGGAACAACAGCCAGCACAGCCCCAATGCATATGGTGTGAATCAGCCCTTAAACAGACCGTTTGTCCTGCTGCCCACTGTAACCCCGCCCTTCACAGTGTAACTCCACCCCTTGCTTTTTTTTTTTGTACTGACTAAAGTAATCATTTAACATGATTTTGTTTTGTACAGCCCCAAGGGAATCAAGCCACAAACCAGTCCTAGCATCTTTGGATCCCTTCAGAATTTTAAAGAAGATAAAAATAAGCCAGTCAGAGATGAGTATGAATATGTTTCTGATGATGGGGAGCTGAAAATTGACGAGTTTCCCATCAGAAGAAAGAAAACGACGACAAAGAGAGAGCTATCATGTAAGAGCAGATCCCATGTGTATATAAAATGATGAAAACCTAGTGCATGCTGTCATTGCTTTTTTTTATTTTTATTATATCTTGTTATCTCCATTCTATTTTAGATACAATAGTCAGGCTTAGTCAGTAAGTCATTACAAAGTACTGTGAAAGAGGCTGACTGATCAAAGGAGTTAAGAGCGTTCACTAAAAAAAGTGAAGATTCACTTCAGTTATCCAATCATTTACATATGAAATAAATAGCTATTTGCTTTTTACACAATTGGATAAGTGAACTGAATCTTTACCATAAAAAACAAGCCACACAAAGTGAATGAACCCATAGCAACCAATGAAATGTATCTTTCAACAACCTACTACTGTAAAATGAAAGATGGTTGTCACTGGGTTACTTTTACGTGAGGCTGATTTGCTAAAGGTGTTGAGAATGTTCACTCCTGTTTGGGAGAAGTTTCTCAACTCCTTTAAGCTGGCCTTACACCTTACAATTATCTGCAGATTTTCTATGGTCAGATGGAAAAAGTGGAACAGATTCCTCCATCTACGCTAAACAGTGTGGATGGAGGAATCTCCCACTGGGCCAAGCTTCAGTATCTTGCTAGTCAGGTCCGTGGCTCTCAAAATACCTGGACAATGCCGGCATCCAATCAGATTGTTCAGGTATTTTGACAGCCAGAGGGGCAGGCTAGCAAGATACTGAAGCTTGACCCAGTACAAGATTCCTCCATCCACACAGTGTAGCGTAGATGGAGGAATCTGTTGCACTTTTTTTGCATCTGACCATAGAAAATCTGCAGAAAATCTATAGGTGTATGGCCAGCTTTAGTAAATCAGCCTCATTATGTGCATGTAACCCAGTGACATTGTTCTTTCAGTTTAAAGTAGTCAGGTTGCTGAAAGATACAGTTTGTTTGGTTGCTGTGGGTTACTGCAGTTTGCACATTGGTTATTACCGTGTGACACCTGGTATAAATTGACATCTGATTGCTTATTTGATCCAGTTAGTACGTTGTCCATTTTGAGCATGGCAGCCATGTGCATTAGAAGTCCAGCAAGCATGCAATCACCTCGTATGTCTTATAGGTTGCTGTATGTCACATCACTAAACATAGTAGTAAACTGTAATATAGTTCGGTATCAAGTAGCTGTTTTTTCTTAGTTTTATCAGATACAAAGGAAACTCCGCCACTTGTACCATCCAAGAAGTCCAAAATCCAGGAGAAGTATAAGGTATGAAAGCAATATTTCCCACCATGCCTGCACAACGTAGGTCTCTGTGTTTGATACAGGCTTGGCACCCACCTAGTATTTAATTGTTAATTGATTTTTGTTTGAATGGTATAGATTTTTCTAAAGGGCTAAACTGGCTATGTATGCAGTAAATACATTTTGATAACAACATATTTCAGGCTTTGCAAGCAAGTAATATGTAACTTGCTTTTTTCCTTAAATTAAGGTTTTAAGCCTGTATGTTGCAGACGGTTTCTATAAACCAGCTTGGAGAACAATATCCTTATATAGAATTAGACCTCCTCTTGTCTAGAATATTCAGGCTCATTCACATCAGATGTTATTAAAAAAGGGTTAATACTGTATTTATGTGTATCGTTGTCGATTTATGTTGCGCAACATTTGTAAATGATCCCATATTATTGAACGGGACAGTGCAAGTCAACACTCCAAAATGTGGCATTTGGGATGTTTTCTGTGCACCTCAGTTGAACACATTGGTATTATTGGGCCCTTCTGAAAGCAGTGGATTTATCATGTCCATAAATTTTGTCTGTACTGGAAAATCCTGTGAAAATTCACGATGGAGCATCTGGTTTGAACGAGCCCTGAATATGAAGCAGCTGATTATGCTTTCACATGAAAAAAAAGTTTGTTACTTTATATACATAAATACATATATATATGTAATACATATACATAATAGATCTATTGCAGCCCCATCCGTGCCTACCTGTTAGGCTTCCTTTTTGAAGGTATTGTTTTGGTGCAATAAATAGAGGTTTATTTTGTATTTCAGAGGTTTTATAACCTCAATGCATGTCAGTTGGAATCAATAGGTAAATGTCTATTTCTGAAAAAAAGAACTAGCTATTTTTATTTTTAATATACTGAACATCCCAGCTTGTTTTATAACAAGGAGACTTAGCCAAGTCTGGGTTGCTGATTTTGGCACTTACATAGCTGATTAATAAGCACTAGTTCACACATTTTGCTAAGATATAAAATGCTAAATGTTTGTTCTTAAAAAATGCAAATCTTTCTAATCACCAGTATTAGGGTAAACTATGTTCCACTCAATTAGCACAGAAATTTCATTACAAACACAGAGGGGGCGCCTTTCCTGGTGCAGATCAATTTTATTTCGATAAACATGAAGTAAAAAGCTTTCCGGGGCACGCCCCCTTCTTCAGAACGTTCTGAAGAAGGGGGCGTGCCCCGGAAAGCTTTTTACTTCATGTTTATCGAAATAAAATTGATCTGCACCAGGAAAGGCGCCCCCTCTGTGTTTACTTTATAGATCTATAGCTTTCCCGGCTTTCTTTGGGGCAGCATCCTGCAGTATGCCCAAGAGGATTTTCCATTGAGAAGAGACAGTTTGTGGCGCTTCATTACTTTTTACTATGATTTTAAGAGGACTTAAAGTCAAATGTTGACTTTTGGTCTGCTGTTTCATGTAGCTGCGCCAATTACAAAAATAAGTTGGCCATATGCCAGTAGAATTTTGTTGCAAACATTTTTTCACTTTCACTTAAAAACGTATGGCTGGAGTTACATTTCACTTTAGGTTCATGATTAGTTTTCTTTAACATGCTCACCTCACCTATATTGTATGACTCTCTGGCACTCCAGTGATAACATCTCCAGGTGTGAGTTTTGGATTTGCTATGGCAAATTATAATGGTGTCTCACTCCCCCCTTCCAGATATTTTATTTGTTATCTAGCATGAAGAATACAAGAGGAGGAGGGGCATACATCTACTGTATAATGCAACAGACAAAATGAGACCCCAGGATAGGTAGGAACACCAGCCAGAACTGAAGGTGGGGGCATCTTCCCACCAAGGTCGAAAGAGATACAAGAAGCCGGTGGGCGAGCCCCCATCCGAGACTCCACCTACGATTGAAATATCTGTTTGGGAGGACTGACCTTTTAATTTCCATACCTTGTGTCTCTTTAGTCAAATGTGGGAGACTTAATGCTGGGATATGTGACAGATTAATCATCAGTTGTCTGAAGGGTCTGGCTGGAAGATGTGGCTGGGTTGTCCAATGAAACAAGGTTACAGCACCCATTTTTCTAATGAAGCCTAAAATGAAAGAACTTTGTGTTACACTTTCCAATCACCTTTAGTACATAAGGCCCGAAATAAAGTTCTCTCTGATGTTCTCTCTAATGTTTGTTTGTCTTTGCAGAGTGATGACTCGTCAGACGAGGGATCTCTCCACATCGACACAGAAGCAAAGCCAGCAAGAAATTCCAAAGTGAAAAAAGACAGTGCAAGCTCAGGGGGGATTCTGGACCTCTTGCAAGCCAGCAAAGAAGTCGGGGGCTTAGATTATAACGCCAATAGGTAAGGAGGGTAGACTACGCTGTGCAAATCACATAACATATGCAGGTTCCTTCTACATGAAGTAAAACGGTCATTTTATAAAACCTAAAAGATGCTAAAATGGATAGTTATATTGTTGTGCAGTGGCTGTGCTGGATATCATCATTTGTTTGACAATGAGCTCTGCAATGTCACTGACGGCATAGTCAAAGATCACATGATCTCTGGCTATGGGGGACATTGTGGATCTTTCACATTACTGGAAATTGAAGAATCTATTTTCAGTCAGAGAGATAAGTAAGAAGCAGAGTCTGCATATGTAATGAAATTGTAAAAGGCAACTTAAATATGTAATTACAAACTGGGTTTGAAGGTTTTTAAAACAAAAGCACACATTGATAAGATTATTTACATATGACAGACTTTTTTCATATTCAATCTTAAAAACAGTCAAAGGGCTTTGGGTCCTCTACAGGAAATAAAGTAGATGTAAACCCTAACCAAAATACATTTCTTTTGTTAAAGCTCTGTGTATCATAAACAAGTACTTGTTTTTGTGTCCTTTGTCTCATCTCAGTGCTGCAAATTTCCTGCGTGCCTTTTTGCAGTCACGTCCTCCTACATGGATGTACTCCAGTGATAGGGTGGGTTTCCTGATGGTGACAGCAGCGGGCGATGCCTGCGTAATTTTTCATGGCCCCTTGTAGTCCCCATCAGAAGCCCGTGTGACATGGTGACATTGCAGGTGCACAGTTGGGAGGTATGGACACACTGTTGTCACCCTATAACACGAAGGTGCCCAAGCAAGCTCTTCGTGGCAGCATTACCAGGGATTATTTTTCATAAGAGCATTGAGTTTAAAAATGATCCTTTAAATTACATTAACATGTGAAAGTTTCTCTGAGATTTTAGTGATTGGATGTACATTTGGTTTAATGTTAATTGGAATCGTCCAAAATTCTAACAGTGTATGACCAGTTTTACATTCAGCTGGGAGGAGATTGTCTGTATTTTAGCCTTCGGTGGGAAGTTCTACTGCGGCTCATAATATAACAACAGCATTGCACACCCTTAGTTTACCTGTGCCTTTTATTTTTTATTCTTATTTAATGTGCTGCATTAATGGACAAAGCAGTTCATGTGTAATGCAGGGTAAAGAGTATAATATACAGTCATTTAGTATAGTGAAAGGGGATGGGTAATTGGTTGCTATGTGGTACAGCAGCATTCAATACCCAAAGTAAAAACCCAATGCAGTTATTTTGGCTTATTAAATAAGGCCAAATGTTTTAAAACACAAAACTGCCATGCTTAAATATAACTGAGACTGCATAAATTTTATGATGATGAGCTGTAAAATGCTCAGATAGTTTTTGTGCATATTCGCTAATGGACAGTTTAAGTAAACGATCTGGCTTTATACGTGGCCGTTAATTGCTCAGAGAGATAGCCAGCGGCAGCTCCTCTCGCTGGTTTTGGTCGGGTTTGATGGTCCGTTTCCTTCACAATTACTTCTGAGAGTTACAGGGGAAGATTGTGCACAGGAAAAGGTTTTATTCTTACTTGGCATATTCCATGTGTGCTTGAGTAACTTTTTTAAATTTTTTTAGAGAAAATAGTTCAAATAAGGACAACACATAACAAATTGAACTTATTCGATTTATACGCAGTTCAAATGGCGTTCGCTCACCTCTCGATCCTGTCGTTTCTGATCGCTGAGCACTTGTAACCGCTCTCCAACCTGACTTCTTCGACTGTCACAGGAGGCTGAACAGGAGGAGAGCTGGGTCTCCTGTTGCTCTGCTGACAGCTGACTCCTCCCCCGCACCGCTGGCATGGCCTTCTCTGACAGCTGTCTCTGCCCCACACCGCTCTCCATCCTTATTTGCTAGTCACTAAAGGCAGAGTGGGGCAGTGCAGGAGGAGAGTTCAGCCCCCTTTGACACACTGACAGCACTCTCATTCCCGCTCGGCCTCCTGGATGTTTTCCTCCTTCGTGCTGGACACTGCTCAAAGAGCAGCGCCTAGCGAGGAGAGAGACTAAGGAGGCACCGCATTTTCTGCCAGAAAATTGTATTTTGTATTTTGCCCAAAGTACCATTGCTGACATTTCGGTGCTCCCTACTTTAAAGCCCCCCCTTGCCTGATAAATTGAAGGGGCTTTTTCTTCAGCTCAGATTTATGACATCCTTCTACTTACTGGACAAAGAGGACTAGCAAGGTTTGCTTTTCTCAGATCCAATTTTCACAAACGCGTAGCTCCACAGATGTAGAAGAACTACAAGTTGTTGTTTTTTTTCACCTTGTTGCCCATAAAGACTTATAAATCCATTACATTTGGGAAGAGCCCAAACCCTGAGATGAGTCTCAACAACAAAAGTTCAATCAGCCTTCAATCAGGGTGTTTTTCTAACAGAACAGCTGCTTGGGGTGGAGATGGGTTTGAGAGAGAGATCCTCTACTGGTTGTCATTTGTCAACAGCGGGGTTTTCTGCATAACATGTGTAGGTTGAATATCCCTTTAATTCAGTGCAGAACATTTTTTTTTTTAGCCAGGAGCTCCTAGATATGCCACACAATCTATTAACATCTGGTGTGATACATCACTGCTGAAAATTAATTTGTATGGTACTTAAAAGTTTATTATCGGGTAATTTGGTTTTAAATCTCTCTTAAGTATGGACTAAAGCCATGCAATTAGTTTGCAGGATTATCACAATCAAAGCAGGTATTAATTAGATCTAGTCCACCTTCATTTTCAAGTGGTGTGTGAGAAGCAGCGTACCTCCACTCTTCAAACATTTCATTGTACATGCATAAGCATGCCTATCATTTTACAACAAGAGATATGTACCATCCAAGTGTCTGCAGATAAGACTCACCAGCACCCCTTCACATCAGGACAATAAGGTTTTCACTGGGGCTTTGATACATAGGTGAACCCTCAGTCATGATGATACGATAATCTCTTGCGATTGCAAAATGTCCCTATTATCAGAAGCTCTTGACAACCCTATAGCCACCCACATTTCTGTGCGCTGAATTACCCGCAACAGGCTGTAGGACAAGAGCCTCACTTCTCAGGAGATCCATCAAGAAATTGCTTGTGTACTAGATGTCTCTGGCAGCCATTGCTGATATGTAAAAATGTTGCTCTACTGATTCCCTTGCTTCAATACTTTGTGAGCCACTGACCCAGAGCAATCAGGAACACAAAGTACACACTTGTTTGTGGTACGCAACTCAGAAAGTATCGAAGCAGCAAAATGCATTCCAGGGGCACCAAAATTAAGGATACTCAAAATCTTACAGTATGTTTTTTGTTGTTTTTTTTTAGAAAGCAGCCACAGCCTAGGCTAAAAAAAAGCCCTGTCCCCTGCCAGCATGCTGCGTAAAAGGATCCTTGCTGTCTGTGTGGAAGCAGTGTGACTACCTACAGCACTGTGATCAGCAAAGCTTGTGTTCCCTGCTGATTGGAGAGCTCTGGCTCACCAGGTGGGGTGTCGGACCTCTGCAGAGAGAACACTGAGACATTCACCAGGCCTTGTAGTAATACATTTTATTGTCAAAAATATGTTCTATTAAAGGTCATATTTTCAGATTACCTATTTAAGTAGATGTATAAATTAAAAAAACAAAACAAATGATCTTATCAGAAATAAATTATACTTTAAAGTGGAACTCCAGCTTGCAAAGTATTTAGATGGTCTAGCACAAACGCAATTTGGTACTTTGAATGACAACTCCTTTTAATGCATGCAGGGATCCTCTGAAAAGTTCTGTCTTGATATTGCTTTATTTAAAGTTCAGGGCAATGTGAGCACATTGAGCACCTTTGCTTTCCGGCCCATCACCAACGATAAGAGAGGGACAGGAAAAGGACTCATTTCCTGACTGAAGTTCTATATTAAATACTTTTTTCAGTTTTAATTTAATTATATATGTATATATGTACATCCATTTTTACAGCCCTCTATATGTGTGGAACTGTATTATACTCTCACTGTCTTTATATATAGTGCAATATAAATGGGTATATATATACCGATGCTAGTACTCACCCAAAAGCGCCAATACTTACCCCCGATACTGGAAACTTCTGGTCAGAGGGAGACTTCCTCTTACTGGGAGTGCCACAAGGGAACATGGAGCCAATCAGGAAACTGGGCAGTGGGTAATGACTCGCTGCCCAGCTTCTTGATTGGCCGAGAAGCTGGCTCCATGTTGTGTGGCCAGCTCGATGCTGAAGCTGGGAAAATTATGTATAGGCTACTTTATTGTAAAATCTGCACTTAGTACAAATGTTTAATGAGTTCTATTTTTAGTGTTATTGGTGTGCAATGAAATCATCAGCACTGTCTTCTAGACCCATTACTGTGTTATCTACATTACATTTTCCATACAACGCATTTCATTGTGTCAGTAACATATGGGGCATAGGACAAAAACAGGACCTTGCAAGGTCATTTAAGAGATTTTTGTGTGTTTGGAGACTAAGAGATCAAAGTTGCATCATGCCAAAGATTTTTTTTCTTTTAAATCAAATGGCAGGCATTTTATCTAGGATTGTGTTTTTGTTTCTGAATAGTTAATGTGCTAATTTTAATGCTTAGCATGTTGTCCCACAGTCAGCCGCCCGCATCTCCAAGCACACAAGAAGCAATACAGGGCATGTTGTCAATGGCAAACTTGCCTTCTGACTCCTGTCTACAAACATCATGGAGTGCAAACCAATCGAAAAACAATTCCATATCAGGCCAGAACTCAAAGAAATCAAGCAGCAGCAACAACAGCAACAACAAATGTGCAAGCAAAAGGCCCAGCAAGAAAGCAGCAAAGAACAGTATCACCATGGATGACTATGAGGAGGAGCAAGATAACCTGGGAGCATGTTTTAAAGACTCTGACTATGGTAAGGACCACTTTTTAATATGTGTCTGAATATAGCATGACATAAGTAAACTAGACATGTAACATAAAGACAGACAGAGAGAAGTACTGTCTAGGAACGAGACAGTAAATGGCTTAGTATGACCAGTTTAAAAAGCTGGAGGTTGTTGAGAGGGTCAGTTTGACACCCCAATAAAGGTGTTGCACTGTGGACACACTGCAAGACCAGTTGTGTTCCATGAAGTGAGAGATGAAAAGCCTCTCTCTGAATTCCTGTAATGGATATTTTTAAAAGAACATCATAAAACTAGGGTAAAGTGAACCTGTGGTTTACCCACGCAGAGTAAAGCAGCCGGCTCTCCTAAATGCCAGCCCCTGCAGAAGCTATTTATTTATTTCCTTCATTCTCATTCATTACCCTGCACTTGTGTAAAGTGAAGAATGTAGTTTCCTCCCATGTGACAGTGCTAGGGCTTGGCAATTAGCTGCTCAGGCAAATAAAATAGTAAAAAGAAAAACAGCTATGCTTTATATATTACCACCAAGGGCAGCACCCTCTACTGGTAGCATTAGGGAAGAGTCTCACCTTCTGGTCTTTTACGTGCTTCATGCTGCTATTGACACTATGAAAACAGCATGGAGATGATGCATGTACGTCTCTATATGGTGTTCTTCAGTGTGTGTAACGGTCAGCAAACATGCATTTTGACGAGAGCCGTATATATCTGATACGTAAAATACAAAAAGATATTTCCTTTTTTCCCATCTTTTCTGGAAGTGTAAAAAACCCCAATCCTTCTGTTGGAGTTCTTGTTTTCTTTAAAGGAGAACTATGGGTAGGTGTTTTTCCCCATAGTTCTCCTGAGGGTCACAGGAGGACATAAACTAGCATCCTCCCATGACCCAAAGCTCAATATACCGCGAGCTACAGCGGTATACTGAGACCGCCGCAGATCCACCCAGCTGCGTGATTGACAGCTGGCTCTGCCTATCTAGAGGCAGAGCCAGCTGTACCCGCCCCCTCCCCCGTTCGTTTCTCCAGTCCGCGCTGGGGGATCGGAGAGGGGAGGGGGGAATCCCTGCAGCGAGCCATGACTGACAGTCACGGCTCTCTGCAGGGAGATGATCGAGAAGTGAGCGAGCGACGGTATGTGTTCGCTCACTTACCGATCTTTTGAGCCTATGTGTGACAGTTTCACTGTCACACGTCGGCTTGAGCTATGAGGTGGAGTGAAAATTACTCACCTCATAATTCTCCTTTAATTATGTCATCATAGTAAAAGTGATGATTGAATATGTTGACACTTGTGCCAAGAGATCCATCTGATGTTCTTCTATTGGTTTCCAGCATGTGTCATTATATTGGTCTTTAGTGTAGGGAACAATGGCACACCAGTAGTATCCCATAGCAACTGATAATATCCAGCTTTTATTCATCTTCCCAAACTTTGCTACTGATGGCTAAATTCTGATTAATTGTTGGGGGTTTTTGACTGTGCACCCTTTTTTATTTTGTGCTATTTAAGTATTTGCGTGATATTTATAAAGTTAGTAAACCATAATTTAAATGCAACAGCAGGCACTCCAGTGCAGCTTCAGTTATCTCTATGAGTGTTCTGTGAACCCCTGAACCCAAGGAGCTCTGTTATGAAGAGGTCAAATCCAGCTAGAACATTGAAACTATGGCTGAACTTCTTGCCATGTTTCACTTATTGGTCCCTGAGGCTACCATTTGGGCTAACTTTGGAGTGTAGGCATGGAAAAGGGGTAACCAAGGCTCCAGCATCCTAATAGAAATTGGTATTACCATAGCAGAGCTCCCCAAGATTTCATCATTCCTAAGGCACTCTAGAAGAAAGGTTAAATTTGAACTCCAGGCAAATAGCGAAGTACCGAGACTAAATAAGTCAAATCTTATGCATTCAAGTACCATAACTATTTAAACAAAAGTATTTTATTTGTGTATCACTCGGCTGTAGATCCTCAATTCATCTCTGAATTGGGACAAGCTGACACTGTCCTTCCTTCTGGAGGGTGGCTACTTTTGTTCCCCATGGTCCCTGTGTGTGTTGTAAAGTAGACACCGCACCAAGCTCACTCCCGTGATGGACTACAATCTCACTATTAGTTTACTAATTTGTTATGAAGTTAAAGTCTTATCATGGGAGTGAGCTTGGAGTGGTGACTACTTTATAACACACACAGGGAATATGGGGAACAAAAGTATCCACCCTCCAGAAGGAAGGACAGTGTCAGCACCAATTCAGAGATGATTTGAGGATCTACAGCCAAGTGATACACAACTAAGAAACATTTTTGTTAATAGTTAAGGTACTTGAATGTATTTTTAGGATTTAACTCCAGAGTTTAGTGTCACTTTAAGTCTTCCTGAACACCCAAGCATATGACACTACATTCTCTATAAAGGTTTTAAACTGTAAAATAGGTAGAATGGTATCCTCTCTCTTTCCCCAGCCTTCTGACTGGACAGTGATAAAGCAGCAGCAGACTGATGAGGTCATCTCATTGTGATCTCCTCCTATCAGCAGGTTTCCTGTTAGCACGCATACATGTCGCTCACCTGATTGGCTCCTAATGCTGCTGAAACGGGGGATTGTAAGTTGCTAATACCAAGTCAAATTGAGGTACCTACATTACTTGTGATAAAAACATACAGGAGGGAATTTATCATAGCAATTACGAGTGTTTGAACTTGCACGGAATATATTTGCACTAGATTTATGATGCTAGTGTAACGTTGTTGATAAATGAGGTTTAATAGACTCCAGAAAAGAAGACTCGTAACTCCAGGCAAAAAGCTTAACTGTCGCATCTTGAAGAAGTGGCCATGGGGACTTCTTAAGTTGTGATTGTTTTTTTAGGTGATGCTCCAGTTTTAGACAGACGCAGAACAAGTGCAGATGAAAACAGGTGCAAAAAACATGCAACTGAAAAGTTAGTGCAAGCTCGGGTCAAAACAGGTGCACAAAACATGCAGTTGAATAAGTAGTGCAAGCTCTGATGAAAACACGTGCAGTTGGAAAAGTAGTGCAAGCTCGGGTCAAAACAGGGGCACATGTTAAAAGACAGATTTTCACATAAAAAAAATTATCTAAAAGGCTAAAACTGTCGCAATTGCTATGATAAATTCCCCCCTCAGTATATTTAATGACTTATAAAGGAACACAGAGCTGCTCTGTTTTGCCTTCTTTATACTTGCCTGGAGTTCAGCTTTAAACTGTATGCTCTTCCATTCAAGTGGCAGTTTGATAATCTAAAAATCACTTTAGGTCTTCTTTAAATACTCCTTATCTTCAGTGATGTTCAATCGCAGGGGCACATTTTAGAAATATTCCTCTCCTTTTTGCGAAAATTAGAGGTAATTTGCAGCTATGTAAGTGTTGTGTTCGTACGTGGTGACAGAGACGATTTGCAAAGCCGGTACAGCAATATTTTGTAAATCTAATTACTTGCCGCATTCAGGGAAAGTAATGCATGAAATAGAGACATTACATTCTAAATGTTTTCGCAAACTGGTTCAGTAATTTGATTTGCTGTCTACAGTTATGATCGTAATAAGAGCACTTTAGAAGCGCTGGATGCAGATGTGAATATATTTGCACTAGATTTATGATGCTAGTGTAACGTTGTTGATAAATGAGGTTTAATAGACTCCAGAAAAGAAGACTCGTAACTCCAGGCAAAAAGCTTAACTGTCGCATCTTGAAGAAGTGGCCATGGGGACTTCTTAAGTTGTGATTGTTTTTTTAGGTGATGCTCCAGTTTTAGACAGACGCAGAACAAGTGCAGATGAAAACAGGTGCAAAAAACATGCAACTGAAAAGTTAGTGCAAGCTCGGGTCAAAACAGGTGCACAAAACATGCAGTTGAATAAGTAGTGCAAGCTCTGATGAAAACACGTGCAGTTGGAAAAGTAGTGCAAGCTCGGGTCAAAACAGGGGCACATGTTAAAAGACAGATTTTCACATAAAAAAAATTATCTAAAAGGCTAAAACTGTCGCAATTGCTATGATAAATTCCCCCCTCAGTATATTTAATGACTTATAAAGGAACACAGAGCTGCTCTGTTTTGCCTTCTTTATACTTGCCTGGAGTTCAGCTTTAAACTGTATGCTCTTCCATTCAAGTGGCAGTTTGATAATCTAAAAATCACTTTAGGTCTTCTTTAAATACTCCTTATCTTCAGTGATGTTCAATCGCAGGGGCACATTTTAGAAATATTCCTCTCCTTTTTGCGAAAATTAGAGGTAATTTGCAGCTATGTAAGTGTTGTGTTCGTACGTGGTGACAGAGACGATTTGCAAAGCCGGTACAGCAATATTTTGTAAATCTAATTACTTGCCGCATTCAGGGAAAGTAATGCATGAAATAGAGACATTACATTCTAAATGTTTTCGCAAACTGGTTCAGTAATTTGATTTGCTGTCTACAGTTATGATCGTAATAAGAGCACTTTAGAAGCGCTGGATGCAGATGTAGCGCCTGCTATTTTAATAAATGCTTCATGATAGATTGAAGTAAGAAAAAAGATTTGTACCCAGTAAAGAAGTCACATGATTTGATACAGTAATGGCAAACATAGTCTTCGACCTATTTCCTTATTGATATTGGCTGTTATTATTATACAGAAATACTGGCTTCCTCACCAGTAGTTCCAGTGCGGTAATTTGTGAGTATCAGATTAAAAGAAACAGCTAAACCTTTAACCCCGACTGAGCTATCTGTAGGATGTTCTTTTTCATATGTGTATATTTGGGATCATGATGCATATAGAAATGATGTGATTTCTGGAAGTGTACACTCCCCATATGCGGAGAAGAGGGACCAATTCACACACCACAGAGCAGAGGCAGGGATGCCAATTATGATGGATGCCAGCAGGGATTTAATGACAACAGTTACTGGCAGTTTTTCACTGTGATTCTGTCTCTCTTGTTTTTTATTTTCTACTGAGAGACAGGACACTAACATTATGCTGCCCGACAATGAAAAGCAAAATTA